ATGAGAACTGATGCTAGAGTCAAACTATAAATACCAAACCAAGTGAAGAATACAATGCTCAAAAACTTTAGGCATATCTAAAGCTCAGGAGGGAGAAGACACTACCTATTTTGAATTTGCATAGGTGAGCTCAAAATGAGTAAGTCCATAGGAATGGACTTTTATAAGAACTGGGAGGCGGAGCTGGTGACACTACAAGGATCCTAAACTTCATTTAAAAGTTATTAACAATTCAAACATTGCTCTATCTATTACCAAGTAATAACACAACTAAAATTAAACTCCTAATTAAGAATTTTTAAAGTATGTAAATGGACAAATAAATAAATGTTAATAAATATAGAGACGTACTTAGCTGATACAATCTCAAACAAATGCTCAAGGGTAAACCATCAAAAATTGTGCAGTATTAGAAAAAAAAAGAACTTACAAAACTACTATAGTGTAGAAGTAAACATAAGACAGGTTGTCCAGAGAACTCAACAATGCTCTCGCTTTCTTTATTTTGGGACAGAGATGTGGAGGATTATATTTCAAGACAATTCAATGATAGCTGGCATTTGTACAAAAGAGAAAAAAATCATCAAAATTTCAATTTCATGTTCTTTTCCAAGAAGAAACTGACTATGACACATCTTTGCTTCAATGCTATTCTAGTACATGCTTTCAGCCCATCAATTACAACTTTAAAATGTACATTTCCTCATATGTGTATCAGATTGTGCCTATGCGGTTATTTCCCTGTGTACAGAACAGTATGTCTAATAATTACCTTAAAGGTTCTCCTTGGACACACCAGAATAGTTTTACATTTTAAAGCCATCTTCATTCATTCACTAATTTCTATTTTTAATAAAACATTTCATTAAAAGATAATAGCATGAAAAACGAGAAAGTCTGGAGCCCTTCCAGTTGTTGCATCAGACATAAATTTACCTCTGCTTCTGAGAATGATTTTAATAATCGTCTAGCCATTTTTATTTGGTAATTTAGCATTAGCAAATAGAGTATGCAGCAAGAAAGCACTGCTGTATCCATTTAAAGACAAAAAACAGTAAGGACCACTCCAGACTGGTAAGTTCACAAAATTTACCAAGTGTTTTTTCTTTTCCCTGTAAAAATTTGTCTTATTTAGAAACATTGTCACACTGAACAAGACTGAATTCCCCTGTGGCTGCAGATGGGCAGCCAGTTCAACAGTATTTAAGAGAAAAGCTTAAAAAAGGAATGGCTTTTATTCCATTCTCTGATTGTTAATGAGTGTTTGCACAGGCACCTGGCATGTGATTACAGTGTGTAGTTAGAGCAAACATCACCTTTCACTCCCTTGTGCTATACTGCAGGAATACATGAAGAGACCCCAGGGACTTCTTTGAGGGTAGCACGGGAGGATTTAGGCATGAACTATGCAGTAATTTCACCACTGAGTGAAATGACACTTCCCACTTCAAATTGTCTCCCTCCGACAGGAAATTTCAGACTATTCAAAGGTAAAAAATACCCTTGATTGTATACATGGTCACCATCTTGATCTGGTATATGGCTGTTAAAATCCTTGATCCCTGATATGACTTTCATATGATTTGAGCCTCTCAGAATTTGACAGTTAACAGAATTATGTAGATTTCTTTGTACCAAAAATGGATTACCAGGTAAATTTCTTTTGTTTCAAATAAGAAACTAGCACTTAATGTTACTCTGAATTTTTGCCATAGCTACTGATTCCCTTCCACACACTGGCACTTGATGTTAACTCTGCTTTGTCATACATGATTGGAGAAGAAGAAGGTAGCATGCTAATAAATAGAAAACCATATCACTTTATCATACTTTTGAAATATGTAAGTAATAATAAACATAAGGTGCTTTGGATTTCAGAGAATGGAGGCTCTTTGGAGCCAAGTCACTAAGAAGTAATTAAAACAATGAGAAAATTAAAAACAAAATCCATATTGGAACAGAGATCTCCTGGCCTATACATATTGTTGAAGCTTCAGGATTGTAATTGCTGTAAAAGTCCATTTGGACTCTGAGAATGTCATGTAGAATCCAACATAGTGTAAAATAGTAAGTTAGAATATCCTTCGCTAAACAAGAACAGAAACAATCTTCAAGAAGATATCAGTGGATAATTAAAAAAAAAAAAAAAAAAGTGTTCTTCCTTGTTACCCCACCAGAAAAATGAGGCATGTGACAAGGACATTATTCCTTATGATTGGTTTATATCCACACAAACATTTGGGTGCTCAGATTAAGTAATAAATGGCATAATATTTTAAAGGTCTGAGTTTATTCAGAAAGATAGAGTGAAGCATCTGGACAAAATATGCCAGCTATAAATTCTGCCTCGGATGTTGACTAAATCAGCAGAGAATCTAGCTGTCCAATACTCTCTAAAAACAACATAAAACCAGACACAGAGGAAAACACTTGCAAACAGACAAGAATAATTCTTTTTAAAAGATCAAAGAAAAGCTGGATAAAAAAAAAGGATAAAATTTCCACAGATTCAAAAATAGAATCTCTCAGAGTATAGCTCAGGAGAACACTTGAGGCCTACAACTTTTCTGAATGGGCTCCCAAAGCTTTTTTCAATTGTGCCTGCACTATTAAAATTACATCTATGTTCTTTTATGTTGCCTTCAGTTAACTGACTCACTATAAGAAAAATCTCAGAAAACATAACTTACAAATTATGTCAAAATAAACCGGAACAATTAATCAAGATTTTATCTGTCTCTCTTTCCTGTTGTTACTAAACCTAACAAATAACATCAGCTAGTGCTCAGAAGTTATATGATACATACAGAAGTCACAATTTACCACCTTTGACAACTTATAAAGAAATGTTGAGCTAATTCATTGAAAAAGTACATTTGATAATATGTTTAGAGAAAAGAAACATTGTTTCTAAAAGCCATATCATCATAAGCAAATAAATTTTAGATAGATAGGAATGAGATACAAGACAGGTGAATTTTTCTTTTCAAATATATGAAAGAATTAAATCCTTTAATCAACAGGGGTTTTTTTATATCAACAAAATGAGATTATTTCCAGAAAACAAGAGAAGAATACGGATCTTCCAGTTAATCACAATACTGTGTATACTTCAAGACCGTTGAAGTGTTATAGGAGATCTATTACAGCAGAAATGCTTGAGAGATCTTCTAAGTGAAAACCAAAACAAATAAAAACATTTAAAAGTTCCAGTCCAGATTGTATACAAAGAATGTTCACTTAACCTTTATCTTCACACAAAAGAAATGTGACAATTAGTAAGTGCTTACTGAACAAAAGGATTTCTGTCTCCAAAGCTACTTGGATTGGAAACTAGTCCAGGGGAACCTTGAATTCTTGAACATCTTAAGTTACCTTTCCATTACTTTAATACTTTATCTGCAGGCATGCCAGATTTACAACCTGCAACTAAGGGATGTCAAAACACTCTTCCCAGACTTTGTAAAATGAAGTCTCATCTATGAACCAGTGATGTACTTTACTGCATTTTTATTGGTCCTATAAGAGCAGGGGGGATTTATGAAGATGCTTTTGCTGTATGCACCTTGTCAGCTTAGTTAAAAAACACCACATTCAATATTTTTAAACTGTTGGTTGTTGCAATGACTAGTGTGATTCACTGCATGAAATATAGATTTCAGAATCTCTATATTAGGAGAGAAAATTTGGATATAATTGCACTCCTTGCATCCCAGAACTGAGTTTAACAATATTTCATCTCTTGCTTCATCCTCAAGATGGGAAAAAAAAGCACCTTCAGTATGTGGAAAAACCTGATGATTAGCAGTGGCACTTCCCCTTCATCTTTCCCCTCTGCCCCTCAAGATTCTCATACTTGGCCTATTTTGTTGGGCCAGACTGGACTACATTTGATTAGCAGTTGAGAGATGAATAAACCTGATGAGGCAGTCTTTTCTCTTGCCCCAGAACAGATTTTTTTCATGGAATAAGTAAATGTAAGATGTGCTTGAGAAAGGGCGAACCAACCTGTAATGTAATGATTAGCTCCTTTCACACATAAAAGGTTCCAGTCCTTTCTATTTTGAACACTTAACAATTCTGCTAGGATTTCCTACAGACATACATTTAGATAAAACTAGTGAATACTCTTAATTAATTAATAAAACCAATCTGATATTTTTATTAATCTATTACAATGTTGTCTTCCATTTTAGAGAAAATATTATTCATATGAAATTTATGATTTTCTTTTTAAATACTATTAATTTGTAAGGACATGTTTTATTAAAAAGGATTAAAAGTAGCAAATTTCTGGATGCTTTTGATAATTATAAGGTACTGTAACATAGACGAGAAAGACAGTTATCATGATCAACCCCAAACCATATTACAAAGGAACTCTTCCACCTTTCTAAAGGGTATGCCATGGTCAGCCCTATCATTCAGGGATGATCGTTTGCTGACATTATTATTACAGGAGTGTCTTCTAAGAGACTGTTTGTACATTTACCTCAGTTTGTTTAAAATAAGAGTGATGCTTTTAGCACTACAGGATGAAATTAACACACACATTGGTATGCAATTTTGGAGTCCCCTCCAGGACTCACAGAACAAATATTATGTATTTGCAGGTTTATTTTAACGAACATAGACCGACTATCAGCACATTTCACATTGAACTGCAAAATGATACAAAATCTTGGGTTAATTTTCATTTACCGTGATTGGGAGTCTACCAGCTAGAGTGGAGTTAAAAATATATATTAAAAATATTACCAGAAAAATCCTATCTCTGTCGAAGACATGGTTCCTATTAATGTTGATGGAAATTTGGCCAAGTATATTATCATAGGATTTGTGATGTTTCTTTATTTAATTGCTTTTTGATTTAACATACTTCAACTCAATAAACCAAGTTGCTTCCTTCTTTAGGAACCATATCAGCTGCCCAAAGAAATTCTAAAAGACAGCAAGACAGACACCATGCTGGGGGTTTGTTTGCATTGCTGTGTACGTACCACCTTTCATCATTCCCACTTCATAGCATTTTCTTAGTCGGCAAGCCTGACAACTCTTTCTTCTGTTTTTGTCAATGGTGCATTGGTTAGTAGCTGGACACATGTAGTCATTGTGCCCTGTAAAACCAGAGGAAGAGAAAAGTGAGGACAGAAAAGTAAGGATACAGCTATAAACAATCTCCAATTACAGAATTTTCAAGAAAGCCTAGAATACTTAATCTTATTTCTCATTGAGTGTTTAGTACAGCACCGTACAGCACAATTATTTTGCATCCATAGACGAAGCTGAGCAAGGATGAAAACTAGTGTCCCAGATGATCTTACTGGTTCCCTGTATTCATCTAAACACAACTAAGGTACAGCACATAACGAAACAAATTTACTGCAGAACTGTTTGTTCTTTCTTTCAGGTCGAGGGATCAGCTTGAGGTAGAGTAGGGAGGAGGCTTGACAAAAGGCCTTCGTCTCATCAAATCATCTATCCTTGACTATAAATTAGAAAATAGAGTAAAAATGACTATCAGATTACACCAGGAACATCTGCTCTCTAATGCCACATAACTGGAATCCAATCAAAATAAGCAGCCAAACTGTAAACTTGTTAATCAGTGACAGCAGACTACACACTGTCTCAAATAGACAGAATTATTATTTGTTAGCCCTGCTTAGTAGAATGGTATATGACTGGAAAATTCTGAATCCACAGGATTTGCTCCAGGACTGAGGTAAGAAGATACAACAGAAAAGCTACCTCAACCTCAGCATGAAAAAACATTTTAATTTTCAGTTCCTCTGGTATGATACAGACTGTTCTATATCTGATTCAAAACATTTCACATGTGAGAAAAAGAAATCAAGTCAGAAAGAAAACAGTCTCAACCATACAAAGATGCAATACCTACATGAAAAAGTAACATAAAAAAGTAAAAGCCACATTTATAAGAAAATGTAATTTATTTGGTCACAATAAGTAACAACAAAATAGTTGTTCAGCCTTTTTTTTCTAAGCCAAGCTATAATAGGCTCAGGAAGGGACTGCAAACTTTAATTACACTTTCTAAAAACAAAGTAAAACCTTGACAGTTAAGGTAGTTAATCTTCAACCAAGATAAGCTAAAAGGTAAATCCACAAAGGGAAAAGAGCAGTCCCTGAATTCAGCAAGTTCTTTGTAGCAACCTAACACTCTGTGGAGAAGCAGCCCATTAGACTTAACACTGTAACGGTGGGCACAAATAGTTTCCTGTGTAAGGAACAGACCTTATAACCTGTACTGTCATGAACTACAAAGGATGAGATGAGGGGAGCTATTGCAGGGGCCTGCTGTGAGCTTTTTCATGGTATTTCACTCACTATACTGAAAGACGCAGTAAAGTTCAGCTTTAACATCACTTTCCTGAGAAGAGTAAAAGACATGGCCCTTTTCTCAAAGCGGTAATTTTAGAGGCAGAACTCTGAGTGATCAACATAGAAAGGGGAGAGGCTAAGGAAGCACATGTCAACAAGAAGATAATGGCAGAAATCAAAATGCTTTTGACCTCACTCTAAACCTACTTATCATAATCAGAGCTGTTTCTTATTCTGCACACAGCCTGACTTTCTATTGTCACCATGAGTCATATGGCTAGTGTTTATGCTCACAGGCTCATATAGCTGTCAGCGTGAGGGCTCTCGTGATACCTGTCATGTATGCAAGAGCAGAGCATGCTTCAAGTGTAGTGGGAGTATCATTTATCCTTGAGGATTTTGGTCAGCAAAACACTTCATTCATTTCATTTAATTTAAGTGTTACTACATCCAGCAGAACGTTTAAGCATCTGTGTACTTCTGATGAGTACACCCAGCACGGTATGTATGTTTAAAGTTAAGTACATGCTTGAGTGTTTTGCTGAATTGCAGCTTTGAGGATCTGCATTCATTTTGTCCTTGATCATGATGGGTGTAAATTTTAAAGTATTAACAGTATTAAGAGTAAGTAGCATAACAACACATCAGTATGTTTTTTCTTAAATGCAGAGACAGTAGTTGTGCTATACTCCAGCTACCATCAGAATTAACCTGAGAGAACGACTTGTATAAGGGGTGGAGGGGTAAAAATGAACTAAAGAAACCCACGTGTCACCATTGATAACAAATGGCTTAATAATGCTCAAAAACATTTAATTCTACAAGGCCAATAAAGGAGCACTTTTAGTCAGATAAATTTTGCATGACACCCAACCAGATGTAATTGAATCTGCTCATTATGTATTTCGATTGTGACCAGTGATAATTATTATCTCTCTAATTATATGCATTATTTATTTATTTATTTATTTCAATCTTCACATCACGCAAATTCCTGAACTACTTTTTACCTATCTGCATGCAGACCACAAGCCATTACCTGGAATCACACTGTCATTCTATCAAATTATGGCAAAAGTGAAATCAGTAGAATTTCATATACCTGGGTGAAATGAAGGCTGGACTATGGCGTTTGGCTGCACCTTAATGTTGAACCAACGATCTGAGAGACAAGTGGGAGTAATAGGCTATAGACAAAAGGCAAAAACCTTGGGAAATATAGTCTCAAATAATAAGAAAAAATATGCCTGGACAATTGTATTGTTACATATGCTAATCCGATATGGAAAAATAGTAACTGTAAATTAAAAGTTACACCAATTTAAGTTAAACAGTCCTAGTAAAAATGCATTTTGATTTTAGAATCCAACTCTTTTCTAACAGGTTTCGCAAAAGAACAGAAGGTCATGTCTAATTCCTTTATAATCACAGACACTCAGATTCACAGCTTAATTATCCTCAGACAAGGTCTTTGGATTTCGAACTTAAAAGTCTCTTAGCAACTACTCAACCCTGCTGAGAAGATGAATCCTTTTCTATCTTAAAGTGGTAGGACATTGCTGTATGTGACAGTAAGGAAAAGGGCCTAGCAGATTACAAAAAAAAAAATCTCCTTTACATGCAGGGAACAAATCTTCCTTTTCTGCATACCTCTTAAAGAAAGGTTACAGACACAGAAGTGAATCAAAAAGGAGAAAAGATCAAAATCTATATACTCTATAATCTCTCATTCAGCTATGTCACACAGCTCCCACATTAAGTGTTTATGTTCTAGTGGAAACTTATTGCCTTCACATGTGTATAGCATTGTTCATATGAGCAGTTAATTCAAGTCAAATTATTATGATACAGATCTTTCCTTTAACCCTTTTCTATGCAGCTTCAAAAACCAGGAAAATTTAAGGAAAAAAAAAGAGAAACAGATAATTATGCATGAGGATATTGAATTTCCTGCTCCTCAACAATTTAATAAGTCATAAATCATACACTGAGAGTGATGTATAGAGTGACATACAAAGTAAAATAAATTATCTTTAGTTTTATAATTATATAAATATATACATACACACACACACACACATATATAACACTCACACACATATAATTACATCTGCTGCAGCAGACCATATCAAAGCCTTCTTACTAGTCCAATTCTTAAAATTTGAATTGGTGTTTGAACTGCTCTTCTAGGACTAGGATAATATGAGCAAATTCTACTTCTACCAGTCACATCTTTTTAATTTTAGAAAAGATAATAAAACAGGAAGTATATCTTTTTCCTCATGACAAAGAGTCCAATCCAGATCCCAATCTCTGCAAAATCTGGCAAGGACTGCAGTATCTACTTTCTGTTTCCCCATCTGATAAATCACAATTGTTTTAAATCCTTGGCACATGATAAAACCAACAGCTGTGTTAAAGGAAAAACTCCCACAATGTATTACTCACGAGCATCTCAATATGATCCCTCCAGAGACAAAAAGCATTTTCAATAGAGAGTCAGAGGCGAGCCATGGCCATATTACTCCTGCAGACTTTACATAATATCTCTTGTATTTTTAGAATCCAAATTTATTTGAGATAAAATGGCAAAAGGAGAAATTCTACAACGGAAAACTCTTTCAGCTAATAAAAAATAACTACAAGTTACACTTGTGCACATAAACTCCAATTAATTATGTGCAATAAGAAAATTAATCCATTTCTTTTTTAATGTCACATATAACATCAACCGCTAGATAGTAAATTGTGATGGTGTCTATTGAATAACTTTTGCTAGTTTTAATTTGTACTTGCATCTTAGTTAATTAAACAGTCCCAAACATTGTAAAGATCACAAGGAACCAAAATGTATTTATTTTCAGAGCACCTCTATAAGAGAAAGTGTTGGTATTTCCATTAAACAGATGAATGCCCAAGGGAAGGACTTGTCACTGCACATGACAGAGCGTGCAGTGGATATGGATGTTTCAAAGCACAGACAGTTTTCAGCATGGGAGTTTGCAAAAGCAACTGTAGCACAGTCAGCTCCTGGTTTGGTCAAAATATTATAGTAATCTGTAATATCAGTACTTTGACAAATTCCCTTTTATGCTTGTGCAACACTTTTTCATGCAAAATAAAAACTAGCTACTCCCCTTTCTTTCATTTATTGATCTGTATCTTTTCCTAACAACATTCATATTCTATAGTAGATTCATTCATTGTATCCATTTTACAATCAGAAAGAACAACCAGGATTATTTAGTTTGATGCCCTGCATATCTTTGACCACATTTTAGAGTGGGGAAGTAACTCTGCTCTTTATTACAAGAGAAGTATAACTATTTCAATAATTTGTGTCTAAATTAAAAGCACGTCTTTGAGAAGAATGTATAAGTTTACTCTAAGAACTCAAACAATGAGAGATTTACCTGATCTGTTAATAAATCATTCCAAGAGATAAGTGCCACACTAGCTCATCAAGCTTATTTTACAGTAACCCTGAACTGGATAAATCAAATTTGTTAATAATCCCCTTTTGAAACAAAACTATACTAAAAATCACTTCATATACTTCTAGTACGCTTACCACCACAGTCATCTTATCAAGTTCTCTCTACTTTGATTTGCACTTCTCAGAAGTGACTCCAAAGGACAGACTCAACCTACTGAAAGTCTGAAAGCTCGTAGGAGTGAAGCTTATACAACTGGTCTAAACTAATAGGCTTATCTGATCTAAAGGAGGTTACAAAAAGGTATTTCCCCTCAAACTCTGTAAAAGAGAGTGAAA